TACGAAGGATCTAACACAAAAACAGAAGTATTGCTTGAATTATTCAAGCAGAATGCACACATTTTAAAGTCCAGAAAAGTTGTGGGTTTTGTATATTTGTACTAGCTCAGAGTAGAAGATTGAAAAACGTTCCTAAAGGGATCTGAGACAACAGGAAATGGGTTTGTACTTCTGAGTTGCTCAAGATCATGCTTATGAAGGACATTCTATATCGTTTTGAGCAAGTTTTGTGTTGCTTTTGTTAAAACTTAAAAACTGAAAAAAACTTAACAATTAAACATAATTTTAAAGAAAAGACAGCCTGGGTTAGAAGCTAGGTATCCCACGTCAGCACGTGCCCTGCCCATCCTGGGGTTCCGGGCCCGGGCCAGGACAGTCAGGCTAAACTGACTCTAGGCCACGCGGACCCCGTGGGGCGGGGCGGAACCTGGCAGGGCGCCACTGACCGCTGGGGCCAGAGCCCTGCCGGGAAAGGAGGGCTTCCGCCTTGCAACGCAGCTCGAATCAGCAGCCGCCCAGCAGGCCTCCCGCCCGTATTTCCCCGCGTCCATCCCTCTGTCCCACGGTTGGTGGGTCAGCGGAGCCTGATGGAGGTCTTGGGCTCTGGGCACTATGTTGGAGGCGGCATCAGGTCCATGGCGGCGGCGGCCCTGTCTGGCCTGGCGGTGCGGCTGTCGCGCTCGCAGGGGACCCGCGGCTCGTACGGCGCCTTCTGCAAGACGCTCACGCGCACGCTGCTCACCTTCTTCGACCTGGCCTGGCGGCTGCGCAAGAACTACTTCTACTTCTACATCCTGGCCTCGGTGATTCTCAACGTCCACCTGCAGGTATATATTTAGAGCCACTAACTTTATGGCATTTGGGGGCTCCTCGGCAGGATGGCTGACTTCCACCCACCTGCTCACCCACCCTAGAGCAAAGCGACCAACTCCGCTCGTGCATGCAGACTTGCCACTCATTCTTTCCATTGCCTCATCTTTTAGTATAAATGGGTGGCAAAAAAAGAAAAAAAAAATCAGCATTTGTGGAAAGCCTGCAATATAACCAAAATCGTCTAAGACAGAATGAAAAATTGACTCTCAAGTAAATATTGGAAGGAACAGAATATAGCTTAAAAATTTGAAAATCCTTAAACATATCTGAGAAGTTTTTGCATCCGTAAAACAAAACAGCGCGAACTTTAGGAAATGACAATTGGCACAGAATGCAATAAGAAAAAAAAAGAAAAACGGGGAAAGGTAACTAAAAACCTAAGGAAAGATAAACTGAACAAGAATGGCTCAGATAGCAGGCAAAGCTTCCAATTAGAATCGAAGTGAATAGACCCAATTGAATGGAATGAACTCTAAGCAATAGATGGATTGAATAATAAGCTGGAGGACATTAATAACATGTTCTGGAAGGCATACATTTCTTCAACCCAAAGGAAAAAAAAATGACAGAAAGAAACTACAGGGAAAAACATTAAAAACTGTGCAAGAAACTCATGTTTCACATATGAAGCAACCTCAGATTTTGAGCAGTTGCTAAAAGTGTGAGAAAGGGAATCTGTTTGAATATTGGCACATGGATCAAGACTCTGGAGTCGGTGATGAGAAAATCCAATCAGAGCATTCCACTTTGCTATTCATTGAACCAGGTAGCCAACAGAAGAGTTAAAAATTAGTGATATGACTATATTCAGGGGGAAGGAGAGCTGAGGGGGGCGGCAGGAAGTCAGCAGAAAATGCCTCATGTCATCAAGTGAAGAAATAGTAATAAAGGCATGATATTGAAAAAGAGGGGTATAATCTCTAAACAAGCATGTGTAAAAGTTTGTGTTTCTGATTTGGGGATGCAAGAGTTGAGAAGGACAGTTTTATTACTTTTCATTCTATGTCTTTTTTCTACTGTTTGATTTTTAAAAACTATACACATGTATTGCTTTTGCTTCGATTAAAAATTAAGATATTAAGATGAATTTATTGCATTTAGAATGAAATTTGGAGGGCGGTGCTAAGAGTATCAGGTGGACTCTGAGGTAAAATAAGTGCCTTCCTATCTTTCTTCAGTAGTATCTGTATATCCTACAAGGTTCCTGGGTGATCACACAAACTATGATTTCCTTGACTTTGTAAATGTCTTGTTTCCAAACAGATCACAGGCCATATGGAAATACTTTAAAACTAAAAAATGGGCTGGGCGGGGTGGCTCACACCTGTAATCCCAGCACTTTGGGAGGCCAAGGCGGGCGGATCACCTAAGGTCAGGAGTTGGAGACCAGCCTGGCCAACATGGTGAAACCCCGTCTCTACTAAAAATACAAAATATTAGCCAGGCATGGTGGCGGGCACCTGTAATCGCAGCTACTTGGGAGGCTGAGGCAAGAGAATCACGTGAACCAGGGAGGTGGAGGTTGCAGTGAGCTGAGATTGCGCCATTGCATTCCAGCCTCGGCAACAGAGCAAGACTCTGTATCAAATAAATAAATATAAAAATAAGAATGGCCAATAGTCTTCATGTAGCCCAGAGCTGCTTCACATCATGAAATTTTCATGAGCAAACCTGTGGAATGTCATTGTTAAGATAAAAATTAAACAATAAATATGTGATTAATTTTCAAAACTTAAAAATTGAAGGCTGGGCAGAGTGGCTTACGCCTGAAATCCCAGCACTTTGGGAGGCTGAGGCGGGCAGATTGTTTGAGCTCAGCAGTTCAAGACCAGCCTGAGCAACATGGCAAAACCCTGTTACTAATAAAAATACAAAAATTAGCTGGGCATGGTGGTACGTGTCTGTAGTCCCACCTACTCAAGAGGCTGATGTGGGAGGATGGTTTGAGCCAGGGAGGTGGAGGTGGTAGTGAGCCAAGATCGCACCACTGCACTCCAGCCTGGGTGACAGAGCAAGACCCTGTCTCAAAAAAAAAAAAAAAAAAAAAATTGGACAGGGGCCCAGTGATGTTTATATGATCTTAAATTTTAGTGTTGATCATAAGAGCAAAACATGAGTTCACCTGGGGTCAAATTAAGAAACTAATGTAAAATAAAAAAAAAAAAGGAAAGAAAAACATAATAGCAGAACAGTGGAAATAAACTCCTACATCAAACAGTAGGAGCTGGTTAAATAAAAATAACACACCTATATAATAGAATACTATGTGGCCATTAAAATGATAAGGAATTATATTTTACTGATGTGGAATGAATTTAATAAATGTGAAGTCACCTAATCAATGATTCAAGTGATTGAGTCAAAGAGTGATACATGTATATTATATATTCATATACTCAACTCAGTTACAGAGAAATAATAAATGGAAACAGTGCACACTTACAATATGCCATACAATGTTCTAAGCACTTTATATACATCTTTTTTTTTTTTTTTTTTTTTTTTTTGAGACGGAGTCTCACCCAGGCTGGAGTGCAATGGTGCGATCTCGGCTCACTGCAACCTCCGCCTCCCAGATTCAAGCGATTCTCCTGCATTAGCCTCCTGAGTAGCTGGGATTACAGGTGTGCACTACCATGCCTGGTTAATTTTTGTACTATTAGTGGAGACAAGATTTCACCATGTTGGCCAGGCTAGTCTCAAACTCCCGACCTCAGATGATCCACCCACCTCAGCCTCCCAAAGTGCTGGGATTACAGGCGTGAGCCACCACGCTTGGCCTATATACATCATTTAATCCTCACAACAACCCTGAGATAGGGACTCTTATTAGCAATTTTCAAGAGAAGAGAGAAACACAGAGAAGTATAGTGGCAGAGTGATAAAATATTGCAAACAATATTATTCTTCCTACTAATGTGAGACATTCATTGCATGACTAATTTTAATCTTATTTTTATTATTTAAGAAATTGGGGCTGGGCACGGTGGCTCACACCTGTAATCCCAGCACTTTGGGAGGCTGAGGTGAGTGGATCACAAGATCAGGAGTTCGAGAGCAGCCTGGCCAGCATGGTGAAGCCCCACCTCCACTGAAAATAAAAAAAAAAAAAAAAAAATTAGCTGTGCATGGTAGTGCATGCCTGTAGTCCCAGCTACTTGGGAGGCTGAGGTAGGAGAATCGCTTGAACCCAGGAGGCGGAGGTTGCAGTGAGCCGAGATTACGCTACTGCACTCCAGCCTGGGTGACAGAGCGAGACTCCGTCTCAAAAAAAAAAAAAAACACACACACACAAACCAAAAAAACCCCCAAAACCAAAAACAAACAAACAAACAAAAAAGAAAGAAAAAAATAAATTGGAAGGCATCCTTTAAAGTTTTCTCGTAAAATTCATGATACAAGTGGATGCCATGGATCCTGGAATTTGTGGAACCAGGGCTAGACACTCCATCCTGTAGCGTCATTTCAGCACTCCCGAGCCGCGCACCACTGCACTATGGAGAATTGATGGAACTCATAGTCACTTAAAAAAGAGGATGGGATTTTTTTTTTTTTTTTTTTTTTTAGACAGGGTCTCACTCTGTTGCCCAGGCTGAAGTACAGTGGTGCAGTCTCAGCTCACTGCCACCTCTGCTTCCCAGGCTCAGGCGATCCTCCCACTTCAGCCTCCTGAGTAGCTAGGACTACAGGCACATGCCACCACGCCCAGCTAATTTTTGTATTTTTTTTTTGTAGAGGCGGGGTTTTGTCATGTTGCCCAGGCTGGTCTTGAACTCCTGGCCTCAAGCCATCTGCCCACCTTGGCCTCCCAAAGTGTTGGGATTACAGGCATGAGCCTCCACGCCCGTTCAAGGATGGGAATTCTAACAAAAGAAATTATTTTTAATGAAACATCAAAAGCATTCTTTATAAAAGGAACTCAAATCAAATTGGGTTTCATGTGGAAATTGTAAATAATTAAATGTCACGTTTTCCTCAGAAAACACAACTTTTTGCCCATTAACAGAACCTGTTTAAATATACACATTTCTAAAGTTACTCCCAGTTTAAAATTTTAACTTGCAAATAGTACAGGCTTTTTGGCTTTATGTTTCACTTTTCAAATCATTTCCTCCACTTCACTGCAGGTAATTTCTCTCATACTACAATACTGCTGTCCCACCTTCCCGCAAAAAAGGCAAGACAGCCAGTGAAACTACAGCATCCTCTGATTTATCAACTTGCTCTCTTTTGTGATTGCTGGGCTTTCATGAGCTGAATATCTCTGGCAACTTTTGGCATAGATTTAACCGTAAAGTTAACTGAAATTCTCTTGAGAACTACTAACACGCTTCGGAGCGACAGAAACTGTCTTTTAACTCAGACTTTCACAAAGGTACAATTCTCTTAAAGCACCAAATGGGAGGGATCTCCTCTCTTATATGCCAAATCAAAGGTAAATTCCTATTCTGCCCTGATTCTTTATAATTTCCTGTTTCCTTTCCTCTAGGTCCTCTCCTGATATTCCCAGACTTCTGGCTTTACAGGCAGAGATGCAGGTTTGAGGCCCCGGACTTCCCTCAGACCGATCTACAGCCTGGGCTTTCTGTTACCATCCTTGACCCCTCCCTTGGGTGCAGTTTTGTAACTGCATTCAGACTCAGACAGATACTGGTCACCTGAATGACTACTGGCATTGATCTCCTTTTCCAGAAACTCAGAGAGACTGTTTTTAGAACCCTCGTCTCCCAATATAGGGGTGGCAGTGGTCAGAGAGTTATAAACATCCTGTCTTCCAAGGCATGGCTTACCACAAGTCCCCAGTTTGAGTAGTTTTAGTACAAATCTAATAGCTTTGTTTCAAACCTTTCCTGAAACGTGCTTAGGAACTTAGAGGTGCGGTTCATAAGCCAAGTTTTGTTGAGCCAAATAATCTAAATGATATGGTGAAGCCCCACCTCCACTGAAAATACAAAAAAAAAAAAAAAAAATTAGCTGTGCATGGTAGTGCATGCCTGTAGTCCCAGCTACTTGGGAGGCTGAGGTAGGAGAATCGCTTGAACCCAGGAGGCGGAGGTTGCAGTGAGCCGAGATTACGCTACTGCACTCCAGCCTGGGTGACAGAGCGAGACTCCGTCTCAAAAAAAAAAAAAAACACACACACACAAACCAAAAAAACCCCCAAAACCAAAAACAAACAAACAAACAAAAAAGAAAGAAAAAAATAAATTGGAAGGCATCCTTTAAAGTTTTCTCGTAAAATTCATGATACAAGTGGATGCCATGGATCCTGGAATTTGTGGAACCAGGGCTAGACACTCCATCCTGTAGCGTCATTTCAGCACTCCCGAGCCGCGCACCACTGCACTATGGAGAATTGATGGAACTCATAGTCACTTAAAAAAGAGGATGGGATTTTTTTTTTTTTTTTTTTTTTTTTTTGAGAC